ATCACAAATTATTGTTCCTCGTTATTTATTATTGTTTTTCGAACATTATAACGGAGCTCGGATGCTATCCAATACTTTTCTTTTTGTATCGATGCAATTGCAACTTTTTTTCAATTACACAATCCACGATGCCCGCACGTATAGGGCGCACTGGGAGCAGGCTGTTCGTTCTTTCTTTTTTTTTTGTTCGGTAACTTTTCTTTGTCGGTATACCTTTATGTCGAAGTAAATCACTTTCTACCCACAAGGTCGTTAAAAAAAAATATATATATATGTATATGTACTAATAGAGCTTACAAGTGTAACACTGCAGGGTAAAGAGTGGGACTATGGATTTGGAGGAGGTGTAGTCGGTGTTGTATGCGCGGAGGGTGATGCACTGGCGACCATCGTCGGACTGGCCGGCTGTTGCAATGGCAGGAACGCTGATCCCAAGCTGGGTTTCAACTGGAATGCTGGAACGCACGGCTTTGGGCAATAGTCTAATTTGCTCAAATCTATCATGGGCCGCCTGTGATGTGTAAAACGCAAAAAAAAAGACGTTACTCGTTTATCTAAGAGACGTTGTACATCGTGAGAAGTCATGCGGGAGCGTGATCTCTACGTTACCTCGCATCCTCCACAAATTTGAGGTTGACTTTCTCACAGCCATCGGGTGGTTCCCTCGCGAGGAACTTGTTAATGTGAGGAGAAGTACCGAGACGTCCTTCTCTGTCTTGTTCAGGTGTTGAACCACGGCTTCCACCTACAAATCAAAGAAGATTGTTGAAGCCACGTGACAAATATGACTTATGGAACATGTATTCCTCTTTATATCAATGATAAAAAAAATATATAATAAAAATTCATGCCATTCAACTATTTGAATATGCTTGCATATGTGTATAGACAACGAATTTATGTAAAATGGAGTGTTGCAACACACTTATCTCGTATCAAAGTACATGTCTTTGTAAACAAATTATCTTCATGCTACATTTAAGAATATTAAAAATATAAGTACAGAGAGAAAGAATATATACATATATGATATTGGATAAGATTCTTCTTCTTATAGCGCTGAAAAAAATAAAATAAATATCGAAACCTATCGGAACAGATATATTATTTTAAAAGATATGTTGAATTAATATCATGCATTAGTAATTGTTGTTCGAGTTTTTATGTACGTATGTATGTAGTACAAGGTGATTTATGGACAGTGACGCTTGTAGCGAAAAAAAGAATAGCTCACTAATTATAAAGAGTGAATAAGTGAAACATTCATAGGCAATAGCAAAAAAAGTCATGCAACTAATTCAAGTATATGTACGCAATTTTGTTTAAGAAGATCTGATTTACCTATTATTTATTATTATAGGCTGTATAATCAGTCTAATGATATGCGTGTTATTGACGATAAAAAATTGATAAGATCTTAAATGAATTCGATTACGATTGAAATGTGATTGTAAAAATCGTAACCACAAATTTCTTTGTCTATGAACAAAATATGATAATATTGCTCTTTTACAACATTGAGTTTTACATATATCTTGCTGGCAATCGTGCCAGACATCAATAATATCATGCATAAACGAGACGTGAATATCCTAACGCGGATTTCAGCAAAGATACTCAAACTTTACTCATTTATGTATATTTATACGTTTACGTCATTCAATGTGTGGTATCAACACAACAGCAAACCGAGGGATTAAAGACAAACAAATTTGTTGAAATAAGATCCATGAAAACAAAAAAAAAATCAAATCTTTCCGCAAATGTGCTCCAACCTTGTAAGAGATCACTAGGCGGACGGGACGCATCCATAACACCAGGAATCAGCGGAGACTCAGAATTCCTAGATGGAGGGCCTGTCTCAACAGGCACACACCTTTAGTTAGTGTGTTATTTATACTGTCGCGTGTTAGCCGGAAATAATCAGGCAAGAGTATATGTATTATAGACCCTATTAGTGGTACAATCGCAAACAAGCGCAAAAAAAAATAGATAAAACATGTAGAATAAAATGTTTTTATATATAATAATACGACTTTTTAAAAACAATTCTTTGTATAAAAACATTTTATGCTACATTTTCGAGTTATTCTGTTCGCGTAGAATTATCTTTTTACTAGTTGCACCGCTAATAATATAGATTCATTCCGTATAAAATAGATATAATCTTAAAATAGTGTGATTTAACATTTTTAACTGTTGTCCAGTTTTCAAACAGTTTATCACACATTTTTTATATATTTGTAAGAATCATCGTAGGTATATCAATGCTGTATATACCTGAAAACAAATTGTGTAAAAACACTGTCGCATGACTTACCTGAAGAATAAGAACTGGAGGGAAGGTCGGTAGCCGGCGTTTGTGTGTTGACACTTCGGGTGGCCCGTAATAGGTCTGCTAGAGGAGCGCGATGTCCTTCGGGTGTAATTTGCTCGCGATATCGTGCATACTAAAAAAAGCAGAAATGTTATGTACATATTAATGACATCTAAATTATCATATGCGTAAGGCGATAGCTGTAAAACGCATAATAAAAATTCTATTTGAGAAAAATATATTTGAAAAGCTTTTGCTTCGTCTGACAGAATATTTGATAAGAACCAAAATACATAATTTGGACGTATTTAAATGCAATAGTACTTAAAAAATGAAAGCCCATTGTCATTGTCAAAAGTTCAAATATTCTTTTCTCAAAACAGTTTCTACTCTTTTTCCAAACAATTCACACGTAAACTCTCGTTTCATCTTATTGAGAGAGAAAAATGTTGAACGTTATAAATCCAATAATTGTGAGAGTCTTATACACTACCTTGTCTTCTATTGGATGGTCTGCATCACTATTATTGGCTGTATTTTTGAGCACAAGTCCTTCTATTTCCTGATTGAGTCCTTCGATAGACGAACGCATTGGAGGCCTCATTGGTTTCACCGGGATATTCATGGGACTTGCTTTTGTACTCAAGCTAAATTGATTGTCTGCAAAAATAATAACATTAAATGATGTGTGCAAAATATTTTAAATTTTATAAGGCCTTAATGTTTTAATGACAATAATTCACAAAATAGATTATTAAACCAACGCAAGTTCTCAGTGCTGTAATACTTATATTCAACAATGTTGATTTACAAACGTTTCGGTCGTTTTATTCGATCACATTCAGTGTATAAAACTTTTCGTTTAGTACTTATAAAAGCGCGAATCAACATTGTTAAATATATAAGTATAATTACGGCATTAAGAACTTGCGTTGGCCTAATAGCATGTTCTATCAATTATCAAATGATGTTTAATCAATCTCATAAATAAAATAACAAGCTGGCAGAGAGTCACTCACGCAAGGATGTCTGTGAAGCAATACTGGGCAGAATTACTGAATGATCTCCTGGAAGCGCGGGTGGTGGACCACCCGGCATTATTAGTCCAAATGCCGCTGTCCTCTCTCTACTGCTAGTACCTTCTTTATTTGTACGTTGTAATCTGCGACAACAATGCACGTGAATGGCGTAGAGATTTTTCAATAAACGTTAAGGGACAAAAGAAAATGCGGTCAATAATGAATGAACATGTACCGATGCCTGAAATAATTCTTCTCCAATTTCTCATCAGTGACAGTTTGTTCCGTGGGATGACGAGTATGCATTTTTCTTGGTTCATTGGGACATTCCTCCGTCTGCGATGAAAGAGATATTGAGTAAACAGCCAAGTAAACTTCTTCACACAAACATCTTATTTTCCATTTTTCAATGAACGTTTTCAGGAAGAAGCAAGATGTTCACCTGTGTAGATTTGTCCACCAAGAGACTGGAATGCATATAATAGGATTCACGCGGCCATTGTCCTTTCAGATAGATAGTGTCCAGTGACGCTGTTCGTCGGATGCTCTGGTTTCCACTTAAGCTATCGCTACAGCGGCCGCTCAATGTTTTTGATTTGGCTGTAAAGCACAATAACATTAATTAAGTAACAAGGCAGTGAAATAAGTGTAGACAAACTTATATTGCAAAGTGTATACCAGACCGAACCATGAGATTGTTTTCTCGGTTGCTGGATTGAGTATTTGTGATATAAATTCGGTAGGAAAACAAATATAAATAATAAACGTACAGTAAAACCGAACTAAAAAATGTCTTTTCGGTTACTGTAACTAGTGTTAGTGTTTAGAAATATATTCAAAAACAACCTTTTATTTCTCAAAACAATATTATGTAATATGTGCATTAATAAATAAAATTAACTAGAGTGAAATGTGATATATAAAATATACTTATGAGCAAAAATACAATAGACATTAACAAAAATAAAAATTAAACGTTTACCAAAGAATTATAAGCAAGTAAATTTCAAGCAAATAGTTTTTACTTGTTTTGATAAAGAGACAAACAAATCAAAACGTCTAGTGTTGAATCAAGTGTGATAAACACAACTTATCAGTCTTATTCTTTTATTTCACATTTTAGACAATGAAGTGCCGTGAATGAAATAAATAATTCTAATTAAAAAAAAAAACATATACCTACCATCATCCGGAACGATTAGAGCAAATGCTCAGTTTACGTATCTTCAACAAGTAGCAATGTAAAACACCTATATTCCCATGGAAAATAAATTTCTTTAAAATATTAACTTTGCATGGAATAATCCACGATTTACGTGTTTCCTGATAGGGCAGAATGCAAAGAACGAAGTAAAAAGCACTGCTCAGTTTACATATCTTGAAGAAGTAACAAAGACATACTATGTCCATAAAAAAAAAATGGCTTGTTTTAACAATTATAATTAACTCTGCACAGAATATTCCATTTATACATCTTCTGGATAAGACAGCGCGCCGACAGCCTCCAGGACAAACGGCATTACCTACCGGCCTACTCGTCACGCTCCAAAATCATCACTGGGACTGACATCAAGTCCACGATGACGACTCCGATGCCCAAGGGATCACGCGCCCCGAGTACGTTTCTTTCCGAGCAAAACTCCACGGTTACAAAGATTACCTGCGTTGGCGTACGACGTACCTTTGTAGGACAGGGACCCGGGGCTCCGCTGTCCCGAGGAAGACGACGTGTCCGGCGAGATGCGCGCTCGCCAGGCAGCCGCGTTCGTGGGCGAGACGGTGGGACTGTTGTTGTTGCTCTTGCGGAGGCTGTTGCTGCTTTGCCGGCCCTGTCTCATCAGCGAGCTCACGGGCAGGGTGGCGCGCATCGGACCCTGCTTCGAGCATGGCGAGGACTTTCGCATACGCTGCGAGCTCGACATCTTCCTCACGCTCTCGCGGAGCGGCGACGACGGCGGTGATTTGCACTTCCGCGCGCGCGGAAGCGGATCGGACGCGCACCTGGCGGCTTCCTTCTGGCCAGCGGCCGCTCTTTCTCTCAGGGCGCGGGAGCTCCGACGTGAGTAGCGCGCGCGCAACCGATTGCAACTACGGCTGCCTTGGGACGCCTGGCGTCCCTGCGTGTGGAGGCACCTCGCGCTGAGGGCGCCCACCACCAGAGGAGATTTTTCACACGACGGCCGAAAGAATTTTCGGCGACAGGTCGGCGACGACGGCGGCGACGACGACGACGACGACGGCGGCGGCGGCAGCGGCGGCGCGACGACAATGCCCTACGCGTCTTGTCATTTGCAATGTTCTGCTGGCTGGATCGGCACGAGCGTCACGTGACCGCCCGTACTCGCTGACCATTGGTGGCGCGCGGCGCCCGCGGAGCGTCGTACTACGCGAAGACGTGCGGCACACCGCGTTCCATTCACTACCACCGTAGCATCCAGCACCGTGGCGAGTGTGGTAGCTAGCGTCCTATCGGCGTCTCGCTTCCTCACGTGCGAACGGGTCTTCTCTCTCGTGCATTCAGGGACGTAAATTCCTACGCACTACACGGGTGCCTTGCGAGATTGCGTCTCAGGCCGTTTTAAGACGCCGCAGTACGATAAGTGCGACAATTATGAGTATCTAAAAGACGTACCGTGAGAGAGATAGAGAGAGAAATCTGACGTTTAACATGCAACGACTCAATATTATTACTAACAAAATAATTTTTTTTTTTATAT